GTTAACACCTCCCAACAAAGGACTCCCCCAGACATTCTTTGAAGCTGCAAGGCCATTCAGTGCTAATCAAGGTAGCCAGTTGCAACATTCACACTTGCCTCCAGCAATCAGGAGTTCTTTCTCCCACCCTGGACATTCCATTCCAGATATATAAACCCCACTTGCCTAGTTTCCAACAGACCTCACAATCTCTGAAGATGCCTGCCATAGATGCAGGTAAATCAGGAGAGAATGCTTCTGGAACATGGCCATGCAGCCAGGAAAACTCAAAGCAACCCAATAATAATAATGTTCTGTTGAAATCTAAATGTAAAGGTAAAGGTTTCCCCTGACATTAAGTTTAGTCGTGTCCAACTCTGGGAGGTGGTGCTCATCTCCATTTTTAAGAGCTGCCGCTGTCCGTAGATGTCTCCAAGTTCATGTGGCCAACATGAGTGCATGAAACGCCATTACCTTCCCGCCGAAGCGGAATCTATGTCACATTTGCACATTTTTCAACTTCTAGGTTGGCAGAAGCTGGACCTAACAACGGGAGCTCACCCCACTATTATTATTGCTAATAATAAAATAATAAAAATAATAATAATTAGATAGATAGATAGATAGATAGATAGATAGATAGATAGATAGATAAAAATGTAGCTGACCATGTTTTCTGTCTCTGTTCCTTTCCTGCAAGAATGCTCCTCTGCCTAGCAACAGATGACTCCCGCTCTTCCACCCATCTGAGCATTAAATTTGGAGCTACCCTTAAAACCTGCCGGCATCTCCTCGAAACTGCAAAGGAGATGAAGGTGGAGGTTGTGGGCATCAGGTAAGTAAGTGGTAGATTTCTTTGCAGTGCTTCTAAAATTTTGGAGGGGACCAGCAAAATCTTCCAGGGCAGTAGGACTTAAGGCCAGACCGAAGGAAACATAGGTCCAAAGACCACTCCTAAAGAACCGGGTCTGGAAACATTGTTGAAGCAGTAAACTATATAATCACAATTCCCTCAATAAAAAAGTGCTTCCAAAGGAATGTATTTCTAACAAGGCTATACAAGTGTGAAGTGTGTGTGTGTGTGTATACAGACACACACACAAACACACACATCTACATATATATTAGCTTGGGTACCCACCATTGCCTGGGTTATTTGAAAAAGTCCGTTTTTTAATTGCACAAAATGCATAAGGTTATGGGTGAACTACAACTCACATCATACCAGGTTAACCCCAAAAAACTACATCAGTACTTAAAGTTTGTTATGTTGGGCAAGTTTAGATTCATCATTGGAGGGGTTCAGTGTGCTCTCTGGCTGCAGGGTAAACTACAACTCCCATGATGGTGAGTCAGTCCCCTCAAACCCCTCCAGTAGGTTGAGTTAGTCATGGAAGTTCTGTGGGCCAAGTGTGGTCCAGGTTCATCATTGGTGGAGGTCACAGTTTCTCTAGTTGTGGATGAACTACAACTCCCAGAAAAGAAGGTCAATTCCCCCCAAACCCCTCCAGTAATCATATTTCAGCATATCAGGTATGTATGCCAAGTTTGGTCCAGATCCATCAGTGTTTTGGTTCACAGTGCTCTATGGATGTAAGTGGACTGCAGCTCTCCCAAACCAAGGTGAATTTTCCCCAAAGACCTCCAGTATTTATTTATTTATTTATTTATTTATTTATTTATTTATTTATTTTTGCTGGTCATGGGGACTGTGTGCCAAGTTTGGTCCAATTCCATCTTTGGGGAGGTCAGAGTACTCATTGATTGCAGGTAAACTATATATCCCAGTACCTAAAACTCAAAAATGTCCAGCCTCAAAACCCACCAGTATTTACATTTGGGCATATCAGGTATGTATGTCAAGTTTGGTCCAGATCCATCATTGTTTGGGTTCATAGTATGCTCAGGATGTGGCTGAACTATAACTCCTATTAATCCCTCCAGAGACCTCCACTATTTTTTGTTGGGGGTTCTGTGTGCCAAGTTAGTTCCATGTCCCTCGTTGGTGCAATCATAGAATCATAGAATCATAGAATCAAAGAGTTGGAAGAGACCTCATGGGCCATCCAGTCCAACCCCCTGCCAAGAAGCAGGAATATTGCATTCAAATCACCCCTGACAAATGGCCATCCAGCCTCTGCTTAAAAGCTTCCAAAGAAGGAGCCGCCACCACACTCCGGGGCAGAGAGTTCCACTGCTGAACGGCTCTCACAGTCAGGAAGTTCTTCCTAATGTGTTCAGAATGTTCTTAGATTGCAGGTGAACTATGCATCCCAGCACCTACAACTCCTATAAATCATGGTGAATTCTCCACAAACCTCTCTAAGTATGTTCAGTTTCTGATCAATTCCTCTGTTTCCTATGTGATATAGAAAAGAATAGGAAAGGGTTAAGGGAGAGGCAGTGGGCGGGGTCATGCAAATTCCACACCAATGGAGAAAGTAAGAAACACTGGGAGGCCTGTGGTGGAGGAAACAGATAAAATCTAGGATGAAAAGGTCCCCCTATGAAAGCCTTCACTTGGGTGGTGGGCAGTATTGTGTTTGTGGAAGACATTGGCAGGGCTATTGGACATGTTCATGGCGCTCACTATAATCTGCAATGTCATTGGAGGATGGGCCTTTGGTGTCTCCTAAGTAGTGTCTGGTATAGCTGCTTGTAGAGGCAGGAGTTTGTCTGTATAAGTGGATATGCCAGCCACACACACACATATATTTTCACTTTTATTATGTGTATGGATATATATCTCAAAGTTCTTATACATATTTGTAAAAAGGTACATCTCTACATCAAAGCTTTCCTCAAAATATGAAGGTCACTTGTTATAATTCACAATTATATAGAGCCTGTCTATTAGACTTTCTCTTTCAATAATTCAAAGTGCTGGTCTTGACCTATAAAGCCCTATACAGTTCTGGCCCAGCTTACTTGTCCGAATGTATCTCCCCCTACGTCCCACCTCGAAACTTACGATCTTCCGGGGAGGCCCTGCTCTCAAGCCCACCTTTGTCGCAAACACACTTGGTGGGGATGAGGGACAGAACCTTCTCGTCGGTGGCCCCCCGCCTGTGAAACTCACTCCCCAGCGAAATTAGGTCAACAGCTTCCCTCCTTTCCTTCAGGAAAAAGTTGAAGATGTGGCTATGGGACCAGGCATTCGGATAGCAGGCTGACAATAAAAATGATGACAATGCTATGGAAAATGGACTATGGACAGGCTACAGATTAAGTTGTTGATCGTAGAACTCGGACTTGACATGCCAACTAATTTAATTTGCACTATTTTAAACGAGTTTTTAATCTAATTTTAATGTTTAATGTTTTGCTTATTATGTAACGGTTGTTTTATCTGTTGTATATGGGGGGCATCGAATTGTTGCTGGCTGTAAGCCTCCCTAAGTCCCCCTTCGGGGGTAGAGAAGGGCAGGATACAAATATTTGAAATAAATAAAAATAAATAAATAACATTTTTATGTCAAGTGCCTCTTTACAAACCTCCCTGGAAAAGCAACAAACTTTTTAAAAAAAATCTCTGCACTTTCCCTGTTACCTTGATAACATTTCTAGAGAGCATGCACAAAATGTCCTTGTTGCCTTCTCTCCCCAGTTTCCACCTCGGCAGCAGCTGCCCTGACCCCCAGGTCTTCACTCAGTCCATAGCAGACGCTCGCCTGGTCTTTGAAATGGGGGCAGAAGTGGGCTACAAGATGCATCTGCTGGACATCGGAGGGGGCTTCCCCACTTTCGAAGAGTCCAGGGGCCGCTTTGAAGAGGTACATATTGTATTGTCACTATTTTATTGTATTACTATGTTACTGTTAAGCATTTTTATTTGATGTTATCATCTGCTTTGTATGCATTATATTTTGCTTTATTGTAATTACTTGGGCTTGGCTTCATGTTAGCCGCACCGAGTCCCTTCAGGGAGATGGTGGCGGGGTATAAATAAAGTATTATTATTGTTATTATTATTATTACTAGCCAACCCCTGCCACGCGTTGCTGTGGCCCAGTCTGGTGATCTGAAAATAAAGTAATGAGAAAGTGTTGGTTTCTAATATATGTAATTTCTTTAGGCTTGTGGGTAAACAGTATTTTTTGCTGTTTCTTTGTCAGTGTTGATGCAGGGATTGTCTGGTTTGCCTACTCTGGAACATGCAACATATAATTGTCCTTCTTTAGGGATCCCTTTCACATCTATGATATTACGTGTGTGTGTGAATCATATTTATCTATCTATATCTATGGCTAGATAGCTTTTTGTCAGGAGGGCTTTGATTACGTTTTCTTGCCCTGGTGAAGGGAGTTGGACTAGTTGGACATGATGATGGTTCTGTGTGGGAAATTTGCCCCAATTCTGTCGCTGGTGGGGTTCAGCATGCTCTTTGATTGTAGTTGAACTATAAATCCCAGTAACTATAACTCCCAAATGTCAAGGTCTATCCCCCCCCCCCCCAAAAAAAACAACCTCCATCTGTGTTTATATTTGGGCATATGGAATATTCGTGCCAAGTTTGGTCCAGATCCATCATTGTTTGAGTCCAAAGTGCTCTCTGGATGTAGGTGAACTACAACTCCCAAACTCAAGGTCAATGCCCACCAAACCCTTCTAGTGTTTTCTGTTGGTCATGGGAGTCCTGCGTGCCACATTTGGTTCAATTCCATCTGTTGGTGGAGTTCAGAATGCTCATTGATTGTAGGTGTACTATAAATCCCAACAACTACAACTCCCAAATGACAAAATCAATTTTTTGGAGTGATGGTCACTCCTTGGGTTAGTAGGTGTCTTGTGGCCAAATTTGGCGGCAATTCATCCAGTGGTTTTTGAGTTATGTTAATCCCACAAACAAACATTGCATTTTTATTTATATAGATTATTATTGGTTTTATGGGAGCTGCTTTGAGCCTCTTTTTAGAAAAAATGGGATACACATAAAACTAATAAATATGCCCCTCTCTGTCCCATTCATTTTCTTTCTTCATTTTCAGGAGACTATGGGAGAAAGGAATTGGGGATTCTGGGAGATATAGTCCAAAAATGTAACTCTTCCAAAGCTCCCAATGAGATGTGATGCCATACAATGTGTTACTTACACATTGTAGACTGGTTGATTGTTGACAGTACAGAATTATAGCTGTTTGACACCACTTTTAATTGCAATGGCTCTGTATTACACTATGCAACATGATTTTTGTTCCTGTGTTATAAATGTCATTTCCTAATTGGATCTGTCATAAAAACATGGGAAAAGTTATTATCTGCAGCATATTTTGCTATAGTTTTTCAATGAATATCTCATCGAGTCTCAACTAACTCAACCTATGTATTGTCGAAGGCTTTTATGGCTGGAATCACTAGGTTCTTGTGGGTTTTTTCGGGCTATAGGGCCATGTTCTAGACGCATTTCTCCTGACGTTTCGCCTGCATCTATGGCAAGCATCCTCAGAGGTAGTGAGGTCTGTTGGAAATAGGACAATGGGTTTATATATCTGTGGAATGGCTGGGGTGGGGCAAAGAGCTCTTCTCTGCTAGAGCCAGGTGTGAATGTTTCAACTGACCACCTTCATTAGCATTAGAAGGCCTGGCTGAGCCTGGGAAAATCTTTTGTTGAGAGGTGTTAAGATGTGCCTGGTTGTTTCCTCTCTGCTGTTTTGCTGTTGTAATTTTAGAGTTTTTTCGTATTGGTGAATGGTATTGATCCAGTTTTGTAGCTCCTGGTTCAGGACATTTATTTATTTATTTGTGACATTTATATGCCTCCCTTCTCACCCTGAAGAGGACTCAGAGCGGCTTACAAGTAATATGTAAATATGGCTCGGAAGCTCCAACTAGTCCAACGGGCGGCAGCCATGGTACTAACAGGAGCAGGACGCAGGGAGCATACAACTCCTTTGCTGTACCAGCTCCACTGGCTGCCGATAAGCTACCGGACCCAATTCAAAGTGCTGGCACTGGCCTTTAAAGCCCTAAACGGTTCTGGCCCAACATATCTATCCGAACGTATCTCGGCCTATCAGCCCACCAGGACCCTAAGATCTTCGGGAGAGGCCCTTCTCTCTATCCCACCTGCTTCACAGGTGCGGTTGGCGGGAACGAGAGACAGGGCCTTATCTGTGGTGGCCCCGCGGCTTTGGAATGCCCTCCCTATAGAGATAAGATCAGCCTCCTCACTAATGATCTTTCGGAAAAAACTAAAAACATGGATGTTCGAGCAAGCATTCGGCTAATCTGTCACGATGTTGTTTTTGACCAAGGACTGGCAATTACCGACAATGAATTGGACTGTGATTTTTATTTAAGAGATGCACTGGTCTGTATTGGTGGCCCAATACTGTGTTTTATATATGTATGTGTTTTTATATTTTTTATTGTTGTTTTAAATGCTGTTAACCGCAGTGAGTCGCCGTTCTAGGCTGAGATACTGGCGGTATATAAGTGTACCAAATAAATAAATAAATAAATAAATAAATACAATATATTATATTATTACCATAGCACAATATTAGTATTACATCTATATATATATATAAATGCTCTGTGCGTAATGAGTACCTTAAAAACAAAAGAACCAATGAACAAAATCACACCAAATTTGGCAACAAAACGTCTCACAACACAAGGAGTGAAATCTGGCTACCAGTATTAAAAAACTCTAAAATTACAACAGCAAAACAGCAGAGTGGAAACAACCAGGCACATCTTAACACCTCTCAACAAAAGATTTTCCCAGGCTCAGGCAGGCCTTCTAATGCTAATGAAGGTGGTCAGTTGAAACATTCACACCTAGCTCCAGCAGGGAAGAGCTCTTTGCCCCACCCCAGCCATTCCACAGATATATAAACCCATTGCCCTATTTCCAACAGACCTCACTACCTCTGAGGATGCTTGCCATAGATGCAGGCGAAATGTCAGGAGACATGCCTCTAGAACATGGCCCTATAGCCCGAAAAAAACCCACAAGAACCTAGTAACTCAACCTAGTTTGTGGCAGCTACAAAAACAAAGTTTCTGGAGTAGAACAACTGCTATTGAAGTAAGGATCACACAATTAAACAGTAAATGACACTTTCAATGCAGGAACAGAACATTTTTCAAATTATATTACATATTGCTATAGAATCCTGGGATTGAATGTTTGTTGTGGCAGCAGAGCAGTCTGAAAGAGCTCACATAATTACAACTCCTACAATTACATAGCATGGAACTGTGGCAATTAATACAAAATCAAACTGCTATAATTCTTCAGCACGGATACAGCTATTGTTACAGATGAGCCTTAACGTTTTGTTCGAACCACAGGGTATTATTACTATTATTATTCTCCATTGTTATCCTGAATTAGATGCCCCTACTCACCCCATTATTTGCTTCAAAATAGACAGATTTGTAATGCTGTGTGAATGGTATTGATCCAGTTTTGTAGCTCCTGGTTCAGGACATTTATTTATTTATTTGTGACATTTATATGCCTCCCTTCTCACCCTGAAGAGGACTCAGAGCGGCTTACAAGTAATATGTAAATACAATATATTATATTATTACCATAGCACAATATTAGTATTACATCTATATATATAAAAATGCTCTGTGCGTAATGAGTACCTTAAAAACAAAAGAACCAATGAACGAAATCACACCAAATTTGGCATCAAAACGTCTCACAACACAAGGAGTGACCATCACTCAAAACATTATGATTTTGTCATTTGGGAGTTGTAGTTGCTGAGATTTATAGTTCACCTATATCAAAGGGCATTCTGAACTCCACCAATGATGGAATTGAACCAAACTTGGCACATAGGACTCTCCTGACCAACAGAAAACACTAGAAGGGTTTGGTGGGCATCGACCTTGAGTTTTGGAGTTGTAGTTCACCTACATCTAGGGAGCACTGTGGACTCAAACAATGATGGATCTGGACCAAACTTGACACAAATACTCAATATGCCCAAATATGAACACAGATGGAGTTTGGGGGAAATAGACCTTGACATTTGGGAGTTGTAGTTACTGGGATTTATAGTTCACCTACAATCAAGGAGCATTCTGAACTCCACCAATGACAGAATTGGGGCAAACTTCCCATACAGAACCCTCATGACGAACAGAAAATACTGTTTTCTGGTGATCTTTGGCAGCCCTTCTGACACCTCCTCGTAACCCCCCAGGGGTCCCAAACCCCAGATTGAGAAATGCTGCCTTAAGGCCATCCAGTCCAACTCCCTTCACCAGGGCAAGAAAACATAAAGCCCTCCAGACAAAGAGCCATCTAGCCATAGATATAGATAAATACTGGTATATATGATTCACACACACATGTTTATGACAGATACAGTACCATGGATTTGAAAGGGACCCCTAAAGAAAGACAATTATATGTTGCATGTTCCAGAGTAGGCAAACCAGACAATCTTTACATCAGCACTGACAAAGAAAAAACAATACTGTTTACCCACGAGGATAGAGAAATTACATATATTAGAAACCAACACTTCCTCATTACTTTATTTTCCAGATCACCATTCTGACCCACAGCAATGCGTGGCAGGGGACCGCTAGTATTCCTATATTGCACCATACCATTATACTGTAATATTACATGTAATATAAAATATATAATTATAATATATTATTATTAGTATTATATTGTATTACATTATAATTATCAATATTATATGTATATAAATTATATTATATTATATTATATTATATTATATTATATTATATTATATTACATTATTAGCACAGTGCAGGAGACAAGGTGGAACTGTCTTCCTGGCCCCCTCTCTTCACTCTGGTCCCAGAGCAGCGGTTGGTGCTGGGGGGAAGGCTCCCAACTGGTGACACAGGAGATAAGATGTAATTGTCTTCCTGACCCCTCTCTTCACTCTTTTGTGACTCACATTTGAACAGCCACTCGGTCTGGGTGTCTTTTACAAATTTTTCTCTATTTTCTGCTTTGCACTCATTCAGACAGTGGCTGTGGTCAACTCTGCCTTGGATCTGTATTTCCCTGAAGGCTGTGGGGTGGAGATCATTGCCGAACTGGGGCGCTATTATGTGGATTCGGCCTTCACTTTAGCAGTCAACATTATTGCCAAGAAGGAAGTATCCCTGGACCAAGTGGGCTCTGAAGGTAGTCAATGGTTGGAAAGGTTGGATGAGGGGGAGGGGGGGAGGTCAGGAAACAGCCATTAGTAAAGGCATAGCTTTCCCCTTGACATTAAGTCTGGTTGTGTCCAACTCTGGGGGCTGGTGCTCATCGCCACTTCTAAGCCGAAGAGCCGGCATTGTCCATAGACATCTCCAAGGTCATGTGGCTGGCATGACTGCATGGAGCACTGTTACCTTCCAGCTGAATCAGTACCTATTGATCTACTCACATTTGCATGTTTTGAACTACTAGGTTGGCAGAAGCTGGGGCTAATAACAGAAGTTCACCCCATTTCCCATGAAGGCACAAGATCTGACCATGATCTCTTTTCCCCAATGCTGCAGGCTAGAGATTCCTGAGCATTGTGGGAAAGGGACCCTTTTTGGATTGTCACTCACAGAAGACCGCAGCCAACATTCTGGGAGTGGCAGTCCATAAAGAAGTACAGAAGGACCACCAATTAATCCATTTCATTTGGAGGAATGGACAAAACCACCTTTGAGGATTCCTTGCATAGGAAAACCCTACAAAATTCATTGGGTCACCCTAAGTGGACAGGCAATTTGGAGTCATATTCATACGGAACCAGAAAAGAAGGTCTAGACTCTTAGATCCTAAAATGAAAAGTGCCCTAAGATGTCCCTGACTTGGCCTCTGGTGCATTTCCCTTCCCTTCAGATGAAGACCCCGGTGGCAAGAAGAGCTTTGTCTACCATCTCAACGATGGCGTTTACGGCTCCTTTGGCTCAGTCATCTTCAACAACGCTTGCCCTGTACCCATCCTGCATCAGGTAAGGAAGGTTTTTGCTCCTGGGACTCATGAATGGAGGAAAGCCAGGCAAATCTGCTCCCTCCTTTCACAGAGACCCACTTGCTTGGATGGCTGAAATATGGGTTTGAATTTAGCAGGCTTAATGTGGTTTGAAACCATACACTGAGAGACATCTAATAGCCACTTTCTGACCCAGTTTCAGTTTCCATTTTTCAAGGGCACACCTAAGCATAATCTATCTGTTGTTGTTGTTGTTGTTGTACATCCACACTACATAAGTATAGCAATTTATATGTCATGGGTCCATCCCGAGGAAATTCTGCAATTTGTCGATGATGACTTACTTAGGCGATCCCTTGTAGTCCAAGGATGATGGTCCTCCAAGTGTAGTGTCCTGGCAGTGGGTCCGTAGGTGACTGTGGAGCCCTATTCTTGGTCTGCATCTTCTCCCACAGTGAGGGCATCGGTTTCCAGGTGGAAGGCGGTCCTGGACGGGGTTGGCTTGACGCGCCTCCCTCTTGGCACATTTCTCTCTTTCGCCCTCCATTCATGCCTCTTCAAATTCTACAGCACTGCTGGTCACGGCTGACCTCCAACTGGAGCACTCAAGGTCCAGGGCTTCCCAGTTCTCAGTGTCTATGCCAGAGTTTTTAAGGTTGGCTTTGAGCCCATCTTTAAATCTCTTTTCCTGTCCACCAACATTCCGTTTTCCATTCTTGAGTTCGAAATAAAGCAACTGCTTTGGGAGACAGTGGTCGGGCATCCAGACAATGTGGCCGGTCCAGCGGAGTTGATGGCGGAGGACCATCGATTTAATGCTGATGGTTTTTACTTCTTCCAACACGCTGACATTTGTCCGCTTGTCTTCCCAAGAGATTTGCAGGATTTTGTGGAGGCAGTGCTGATGGAATCATTTCAGGAGTAGCATGTGACATCTGTAGACTGTCCATGTCTCGCAGGCACATAGCAAGCATCTTGATACCATCCGTATCTCTACGGATGTCCCAGTCCTCAAACACTCTCTGCTTCATTTGGAAAAAAGGTACACTCGCAGAGCTCAGGCGGTGTTGTATTTCGGTGTCAATGTTGACTTTTGTGGAGAGGCGGCTGTCCAGGTAGTGGAAATGGTCAACATTTTCTAATGTTACACCCTGGATTTTGGCAAGATCAATTCGGAGGGTTGAGAGTTGTTCGTTGATGCCAGTGGGTGCTTCGGTCAGATGTTTCTCCAGATCATTTCTGATAGCAAAGCCAACTCCGTGCATTCTTTGGTCTTCTTCGGGCAGTCCCTTCCAAAAGAAGGTGTAGCCTCCTTTTTCTTCCTTCAGCTGTCCCTCTCCTGCTCTCCGGGACTCCTGAAGTGCTGCTATGTCGATGTTAAAGCGTCCCAGCTCCCTTGCAATGATGGCAGTTCTGCGTTCGGGCTTTCACTGTCAGTGTTGTCCATCCATGTCCGTATGTTCCATGTACCAAAGTTCATTTTTCTTTTTTGGCCGCAGGGTGGTGACCCCACTGGACGTGGCAGTCCAGTCAGAGATAAGATAGGCAGACTATGTTTAGGGCACCTTTTCTAGCCCCCTCCCCGTGTGGGGTGAGCAGAGTGGGTCCTAAAAGGGGCTGCTCAGTCCTGGATATAGCTGCCGAACTACTCAACTGCCTCGGACCTTGAGGTAGAATGACTGAGTCTGTATCCACCGCCCATGTGCCAGTCTGTGACTAGGGGCTTCCAGATTTCACAGTCCTGCCCCCGTCGCCACTCGCTGATCACCATGGGACTTTGGTTGGTTTGTTTTTATTGTCCTTGGAAGACACCTGTGTGTGATTTTTTTTTAATGTGTGGAGGTCAGTGCACAACTGTTCAACACACAGTCTTCACAGAGTGAGGTTCCACGGGTGGCATAGTTTACCAAGATGACCATGGCTTCTCAATGTGTTGCAGCCTTCTTCCGCCTTCACAGCCGTTATAACATGTACCATGTTATCCTCCGCCTGCTGCGCCATTGAGGTTTTTGGGTCTTCAAACTGTGCTTGGTCTGGAACCTCCCCCGCGGCCACTCCTGGGAGTGCACGACTCCAGTCGTTGTGCCTGCAGGTTCATTGGAACACGCAAGCCCCCTCACCATGACAAAGTGACAGTCCATCGAGGGGATGATGATGATGATAATCATAATAATAATAATTTGAAACACAACAAGATGAGTCCACAGCAGACCCTATGCTGGCTGTTGTACTGGATCATATGTCGGACACTTCCCAAGTGTCTAGGACTGTGTGATGTATCGGCGAATAATGTGTGCAGATCCCAGTAAGGTGGCCTTCTGCAGCTGGCAGATGGTAATTTTGTCAGCGCCGATTGTATTTAAGTGCAGGCCAAGGTCTTTAGGCACTGCACCCAGTGTGCCAATCACCACTGGGACCACCTTGACTGGATTGTTGTTGTTGTTGTTGTTTATTACCTGCTTCTCCTTTCTGCTCAAGGTAGGGCACCTACACAGTGAAATACACCTATAGCATCAAATAGTAAAACATAGTTAAAACACAGCCATAAAAGCATATATTAAAACACGCACATGTTAAAATGCCTGAGACAAAAGTTAAAACACAATAAACATAGAATGCGATTTAAAAGTCATAGTTAAAACTAGATACTTTGGGTGCATATGCACTCTATGGAAACCTGGGATTGCTAGTTTTATAAGGTCTCTAGTCATCTCTGCCAAACAGGGCTGGGGCCTCATCAAACTACAACTCTCCGGATTGCTTTGCTTTGAGGCATGGCAATTCAAATGTTGCTAAACTGAATTAATTCTACAGTGTTGATGCACCCTTTGTATCAAAACCAGTGAAAACAATGTTCTCTCCTGGCTACAGAAGCCCTCCCCGGATCAGCACTTGCACAGCAGCAGCTTCTGGGGTCCAACCGGCGAGGCCCTGGACCGCCTTGTGGAGGGGGTGGATCTTCCTGAACTCCAGGTGGGCGACTGGCTGGTCTTTGAAAACATGGGGGCTTATACCATGCCCCCCTCCGCCTCCCTCAACAGCGGCCCACCGACACGGATCCACTACGCCATGTCCAGGGTGACCTGGTGAGAGCATCCCTTGCAAAGGAAACAGGGTCAGGGATCTGGAAGAGGGAGGGAGAGAGGACTTTGAATAGGGAGGCAAGGTTTGCTTTGCCTCCTCGGAGGCTGAGACAGTGTGACTTAGAAGCTAAGCCAGTTCTTCATGTGCTGCATAGTTAGCCCTCCACATCTTCTAGATTTAGGGGCACAGGACTCTGATGAAAGTAAAAAGTTGCAAGCGAAGAAACATTTGTTTGTTTGTTTATTATCCAAGGGAACATCTCTAGGGATTTCTAGTCTTCTAGCATGATTCTGTGGGCAGCGTCAGTTGGAAGATAGCCATAGAATGTCATTGCAGTACATAGAGATTTCTGAGCAAAAATCTCTAGGGATTTAAAGAGAAATGGTAGTGTAGTCATATAATCCGGGTCAAAGCAGGTAATGTGGATTATCTGCTTCGATAATCTGGATTATATGGCAGTGTAGAAGGGGCCATAAAGTCAGACTGGAGAATCTAAGAATTCCCTAGAGGCATTCCTTTTAGGATTTACCATCAGATCACACTGGAGGACCTAGAGATTCCCTAGAGGGGGGTCTGAGGCCTTTTCTACACTGCCATATAAAATCCAGACTATCTGCTTTGAAATGGATTATATGGCAGGGTGGACTCAAAGTAAATAATCTGTATTATCTGCTTTGATCATTTGGATTATGTGGCAATGTAGAAGGGACCTCAGTCTACAGCCCTCTACATTTAAAATGTTTCATCTAGGAATCACTATGCCCTCCAAGGTGACTCTAAAATTGACTTCCTCCAAGCATGCTGGAGATTATGGGGATTCCTATTCAGGCTGGATCTACACTGCCATAAAATTTAGTTTCTGAATCCATATTATTTAACAACAGAGATTCTTATCTTCCAGTTCAAAGCAGATAATCTGGGATCTGATCCTGTGATGTAGAGCAGTGTAGAAGGGTCTGTAAGGCCTCATGGTGGCGCAGCGGATTAAATCACTGAGCTGCTGAACTTGCTGAGCGAAAGGTTGGCAGTTTGAATCTGGGGAGTGGGGTGAACTCCCACTGTTAAGCCCAGCTTCTGCCAACCTAGCAGTTCGAAAACATGCAAATGTGAGTAGATCAATAGGTACTGTGAAGGAGCCCCCGGTAGTGCAGTGGGTTAAACCCCTGTGTTGGCAGGACTGAAGACCGACAGGTCGCAGGTTTGAATTCGGGGAGAGGCGGATGAGCTCCCTCTACCAGCTTCAGCTCCTCATGTGGGGACATGAGAGAAGCCTCCCACAAGGATGATAAAACATCAAAAATCATCCGGGCGTCCCCTGGGTAACGTCCTTGCAGACGGCCAATTCTCTCACACCAGAAGTGAAGTGACTTGCAGATTCTCAAGTCTCTCCTGACACGACAAAAAAAAAAACTGCTTCTGTGGCAAGATAACAGCACCCCATGCAGTCATGCTGGCCACATGACCTAGGAGGTGTCTACAGCCAACGCCGGCTCTTCAGCTTAGAAATGGAGATGAGCACCACCTCCCAGAGCCAGCCATGACTAGACTTAATGTCAAGGGAAACCTTTACCGTTACCTAGAAGGGCCCGTAGACTCATACAATCCAGTTCAAAGCAGATAATCTGGATTTTATATGGCAGTATAGATGAGGCCTAACTAAGACCTCTGTTTTGATCATCTGGGATGAAAGGGGGAGCAAAATGGGGGTTGTCCCCTACTTTGACTAAATGGCCTACAGTTGCCTTCTTGACTCGCTGGTTGGGGTTGGCATTGATCCTTCTCCTCTTTCTTTCTGGGAATTGCAGGGAAGCGGTGCAGCTGCTGTGGGGGAAGCTCCTCCACGCTGAAGAGGAAGAGGAAGAGGGCCGGGAGAGCACCTGCACCCCACTGTCTTGTGGCTGGGAGATCACCGACTCCTTGTGCGCGGCCCCTGTCTTCACCCCAGCCAGCATCATGTGAGCGGAGGAGGCCCATCGTCCACCGCAGGCACCCTCCTCCCGTACTCTAGCCTCCCCTTCACATCCACCTCCTCTTACACCCTGGAATTGGGTCTCTTGCTGCCCTTTTCCTCTCCTCCATTCCTCTCCCAAAGAAGCAGTGCGGTTTTTAAGTATGCAACATAAAATCCTGTTCCTCCTCTTTCCAGGGTCTTTTGTTTTTCAGTCTGTGAGCAGATATTTCTTTGTCTTTGGTTGGTTATTTCTACATCAGGCACGGGCAAACTTCGGCCCTCCAGGTGTTTTGGACTTCAATTCCCACAATTCCTAACAGCCGGTAGGCTGTTAGGAATTGTGGGAGTTGAAGTCCAAAATACCTGGAGGGCCAAAGTTTGCCCATGCCTGTTCTACGCTGTTGAATGAATGCAGTTTGACACCACTTTGGCTGCTTGTATGCATAAATCAGGGCCAGCAACATAGCTGTAAGGTGGAGAAAAGTGAGGGTATTATATAGTAATTGCCTCAATTCCTCTAATTGTGGTATTTCCACATAGGCATAGTTCATATAAATGGGATATTCTAGAGAAAGTCTCATTTGGTAATCTCCTTGGGTTTATGTCTAACTTTTGTTTTGTGTATTTTAATACGTATTTTATGGAAATATGTGTATTCTGCGGAGTGTTTTTAAATGATTATTTGTTCTGATTATGTGTTTTTGGCAATGTTGTAATCTGCCTTGAGCCGTGAGGAGAGGCGGGTAAGAAATAAAATTGTAATAAAATAATAATCTACACTGTCATATAATCCAGATTGTCAAGGCAGATAATCCACATTATCTGCTTTGGACTTGATTATATGCGTCTATACTGCCATATAATCCAATATGAGTCTAAACTGCCATATAATCCAGTTCAAAGCAGATAATCTGGAGTTTACATGGCCGTGTAGAAGGGGCCTACATTGTAGAACGAATTCAAGTCCCTTCTACACTGCCATATAATCCAGATTATCTGATTTGAACAGGATTATATGAGTCTACACTGTCATGTAATCCAGTTCAAATCGGACAAACTGAATTTTATATTGCAGTGTAGATGTGTTCTGATACCATTTTAACTGCTATGGCTCAGCAGTATGGGATCTTGGGATCTCTATTTTTGTGTGCAAATATCATGCTTTGAGAGAGAAGGCAAAATACCTTGCGAAACTAAAAGCTATAGCAATTTAAGTGGCGCCGAACTGCATTAATTCTACAGTATAGCTGCACATCTCTTGCTGTGGGAATAGTGAATCCAATTTTGGGTCTGTGGACAATTTTAGGATTATTTCTGAATTCCCAAGTAAGGGATGCTCAGCCTCCATCTCTGTCTACTGTCCTTTTTTGTTCATGTTTGTGGTAATGGAATCAAAATTTCTAAATGGATCAGAGGAAGAAATCTGCCATGAATTCTTATTCAACAATACACTTCACACTCAGGCCAACAACTCATTGCCATTAAAACTTTCAGATAGGTCTGTGTTTGTGTGTATAATTTTTACCTCCTCATAATGTGGAAAGATTTAAATGCTTCTCTATAAATCTTTTTTTTAAAAAAAATGGAAGAAGAAAAACCCCTCTATAAGAATCTCTCTATTGGTCTTCTGGGACTTCAGTTCCCAGAATCCCTAACTATTGGCCAAAGTGGCTGAGGCTTCATGGAGCTGAAATCCAAAAAGACCTGGAAGACTAGAGCTCTTTCAAGGTCAAGCCAGTCACTTCAAGGATGCCATCCATCCATCTTTCCCTTGGTCAGCCCCTCTTTATTTTTCCTTCCATTTTCCCCATCATCATTATCTTCTCCAAGCTTTCCTGTCTTCACATTATGTGGCCAAAGTACTTCATCTTTGCTTCTCATATCCTTCCCTCCAGTAAGCAGTCGGGCTTTATTTCCTGGAGGATGGACTGGTTGGATCTTCTAGCAGTCCAAGGCACTTTCAGAATTTTCCTCCAACACCACAGTTCAAAAGCATCTATCTTCCTTCGCTCAGCCATTCTTTATGGTCCAGATCTTGCATCCATAGGTTACTACAAGGAATACTTACTTACTTAGGCGATCCCTCGTAGTCCGAGGATGATGGTCCTCCAAATTCGGTTTCCTGGCGGTGGGTCCGTAGGTGACTGTGGAACCCTATTCTTGATCTGCATCTTCTTCCGCAGTGTGGGCATTGGTTTCCAGGTGGAAGGCAGTCTTGGTTGGAGTTGGCTTGACGCGCTTTTGTCTTGGCACGTTTCTCTCTTTCGCCCTCCATTCATGCCTCTTCAAATTCTGCAGCACTGCTGGTCACAGCTGACCTCCAGCTGGAGCGCTCAAGGGCCAGGGCTTCCCAGTTCTCAGTGTCTATGCCAGAGTTTTTAAGGTTGGCTTTGAGCCCATCTTTCAATCTCTTTTCCTGTCCTCCAACATTCCGTTTTCTGTTCTTGAGTTCGGAGTAGAGCAACTGCTTTGGAAGACGGTGGTCGGGCATCCGGACAACATGGCCGGTCCAGTGGAGTTGATGGCGGAGGACCATCGCTTCAATGCTGGTAGTCTTTGCTTCTTCCAGTATGCTAACATTTGTCCGCTTGTCTTCCTAAGAGATTTGCAGGATTTTATTATTATTATTATTATTAACTTTATTTGTACCCCGCTAGCATCTCCCGCAGGACTCGATGCGGCTT